CGGGAGTTGAAAAGTCCTGCGCGGGGATTTCTTTCCATGTGCGCGGCGCGCAGGCGCGCACCTTAGAGGGAACAGTGGTCATATTACATTTGGATCCAACGTTCCTTCCAAAACTCAACTTTTGGTTCCACAGGTCACAAGAGATAACTCCCGGATTTCTGCCCACATCTGGCCACATCTCACTCCCGGGAACGGCATTGGCATTACCTCGACATCCGTCATTCACTTCGCCACTATGTGCGACACACTGTCGTTCAGAAGGATGGAGACCCTATTCGTCTCTTTCCAACCAGCCACCATGGGCCAAAAGGCATTCTCTCATACTATCAGCCGCTGGTTGAAGGCGTGTATTGCTCTCGCCTACGACTGTCAGTCCCGACCGATCCCCAGTCGCAGCACTCCCCATTCCACCAGAAGTGCAGCCATGATGGCGGCCTGGGCAACGCAAGTCTTGGTGGAGGACATATGCAGGGCAGCGACCTGGTCATCGCCGTTGCTCTTTATCCGTCATTACAAAGTGGACGTTTATGCTTCGGCTGAGGCGTCTTTTGGATGGTGCGTGCTGCAAATGGTGTTTTCTTCGGCTCTGACACCAGACCAGCCTCGCTCCCGCCCCTGAAATTTATTGCTTTGGCATGTCCCATGTTTGGATTCCCCAAGCAGCGCACAGGAGAACGACAGTTGACTTACCTGAACGATCCTTCTATGTGCGCTGTGAGGGGAATCCAAACCCGCCCTCAGCTTCCGCTGTTCTGGGGCTACCTGACTTACCTTGACCTCTAGACTTCTTTTTGCATCTCTCAAATCGGCTGAACCTTCATGCAAAATTGAACCAGTCCAATCAGAGGAGGCATGGCCATCAATTTACATAACTCAGTCTCTAGGCTAATGGACAAAGTTAACCCATGCTTGGATTCCCCTTGCAGTGCACATAGAAGGACCGTTCAGGTACGTCAACGGTCTTTTCTCATCTTCTAGAAATAGAAAATTTCAGTGGAAATAAACAATATATGTGAAAGTTTCAGGATTTTGTCACGAAGCATGTTGATAGTATTACTGTTGAAATTTAAAATAAATATATGATCTATTAAAAATGATTTAATATTCTCCTACAGCAAATTTCCTTTGCAAGTGATTTATATGTGTTGGCTTTTGAATTTACAAAATCCAAGAATGGGGAAAATACAGGCTGCATAAAATGGGCAGAAAAGGTGACAAAATGATTAAAAATTGATTCCATAGTCATGGAATGTGGGTCAAGTGAGGCTTTCCATGTTTCATTGTATAGAAAATAAAGATACCAAGGATTAATTTTGTTCTTCCTTATGTTTCTTAAGAAACTATTTCCAAAGTACAATTGATTATTTTTCTTCTCCAGGCCTTTTTTGATAGGGATTATATTTCCTCTCATCCTGGAGATGCAGAAAAAATCACACAGTTGAAAGAACTGATGCATGAACAGGTATTCTTATCTTTTTAAAATAAAATAATAATAATACTGTAATAAAAATTTGTTTCCTTTGATATTATGCAAAGTAACATAGGCTTATTCAAACTATATAAAATACTGAGAAGCAGAGCATTAGACTACTTATACATCTGGTTTATGTTTATATTCTAAAACATGGGTGTCAAAGTCGATCACTTTATGTGATGTATCATGACGTTTTTGCCTTTGCGGAGCCAGGGTAAATGTGGCCTGCACCACAGGCCACCAGTTTGACACTCATGTTCTAAAACAATCATTGAATTTAATGACAAAAAATATAGAAATGTAGAATTTGACATCCACCTGTACAACGCAATGTACTAGATATATAAAACAAATACAGATGTTTGAAAATAACGGAAAACTAAGAAAGTGGGGACAATGCAGATCTAAAAAATGCTGTTTGCTAACCTTTATTAGCCACTTGCATCTTCAATAGTATAAATAGAAGCGTACACATGTAAGAACAAATCTTTTTAAAGAGATTTCACTCTAAAACTCACATTTCCTTTCAGATAAAAACACATCAATATGCTAGATTGTTTTAGAATTCCTTAAAACAAGCAATTTATCAAATACCTTTCATATGTATTTAAAAGTATGCTATCAATCCAATTAAAACTGCTATTATTTCATAGTCTTAACATTGCTACTAGATTATTTGTTTCAAAACAGTTACCAGGGAAGCAAATCAATTATTGTTTAGTTATCATTTACATATTTACAAATCATGAATTATAATTTAAATAGCCCCAATATTTAAATATTTTAGTAAGCTTGCAATATTGAAAGTATTATCTTGTAGTCTCATTGAAACTGAATATTAAGTTGTGATTTTAATAGGTGCATATCCTAGGAATAGGTCTGGCAGTACATGAGAAGTTTGTACATCCTGAGATGCGTCCACTACATAAGAAATTAATTGACCAATTTCAAATGATGCGATCTAGCTTGTACCATGTAAGTTCATAATTACTCTTTATTTTTCTAAATATGCATCGTTTTGTCTTTGGTTTCACTGAAATACAGCATTGAGAAATGATTCTGTTGTAAGATGGGGAGCAAATAAATTTTATAAATAAAGAAATAAATAGATGGTGCAACAGAGCTTTTCCACTAACCACACATTGTTAATTCAGTGAATTTGTGATATTATTATCTTCATGTTGTCGTTCCATGCCAAGAAATAATTGTAAGTTTTCCTAAAAATGCCCTAATTGATTCATGAGTATAGAGTCAAGTTTAATACAAAACTAGTACTTTATTAGGAGTATTATAGGCAAGATCTTTTCGCAGTCAAGTCTAAGCTTTGTTTGATTTATAGCTGAACTTTACCCCTGTTCCTTCCCTCCCCTGAGTCTGTGTCATAAATTGCATTTCCTCTATGAGATTTACCCCTCCCAAGCCGGCTGCAATAATCTGAGATCCGATTTCAGCCGACAGTATGCATGGAATGCAGTCCCTCACTTCTCTTACTATGGCAACGCTGGGAGTTAACAATATATTCTGTTATATTCTGGAAATGATTTTGTCACCATAACTCTATTTTTCAGCTTCTTCATCTTAGTTCATTTCTGTTATCTTCTCAACATGTAGAGCTGGTGGACAGGCCATATTGGTTGTATCCTGTTTTATAAACAATATTTATATTCTGCCTTATCATTTCACAACTAGCATTTAATGTCCTCTACAGGAATTACCCACTCTGGAAAAATTAAGTCCAGCCTGCTCAGGAACAAGCACACCACGCAGCAATATGCTTGTATCACACAGTCCAATGAGTCCAGAGAGCATCAAAGTAATGCATCGACACAGGTATTATTTTATACACTTTCTGTATTAGAATAGTATTTCTGTATCTGCCTTTTCAAATAAGATATGAAATTGAATAATTAATATACTGCTACATGTAATTAAAAAGTCTCATTAACAAGACTTTTGGAGTATTCAAAGCTATAATAAATTAAAGGCCAGATTTTTAAATCAACTTCATTATTGTGGGATTAAATTTCCTATGAGATTGTTTTGCTGTCTGAAAGTTCATTATTTATTATTATTTATGTAGTAACCTGACGTTAGCAGGTTATAACAAAATGATAAGATCAGAATGATTAGCAACCAGATTTAATAAAAACAATCATTTCTCACAGTTATTAAAATCTGAAAATTAATGTTATAGAAGACCAAGATAATTACGTAGGCTGGGTGATTGCAAGTTATACATTAATGATGAAAATATAAAGAAGAAAATGATTTATTGAACCTTAGACTATTTATTAAAGATGAGAAAATGGATGGAGAAATTTTAAAATGTGTTAATGTAAGTAGAAAAACAGTGCTCAGATGCCAGGAATGAATGAATGTCAAAAACCCCAAAATAGATTTGTATAAAACCATGATTCTGTCAGAAGTAAAAATCTGGATGTGTCAAAAAACATGTTGAAATAGAAGTCGGTTACTTAAGTGTGTGTAATAAAACAAGAACAGAGTCATAAATTAATGGGTGCTGTCAGATGAATTTGAATTACAAAAGCAACCAATATGAAAGAAATACTCCGCTTTTTTGATTATACACGGTAGATAAAATGAATGAAGACTGGATTACAAAAAAACAATATACAAACAAGGAATTAATATTTTTGAAAGGAAGTTGAAAGATGGTTAGATGGAGTTGATGAGAACTTGGAAAAGAGAGATTAGTTTTAAAAAAAGAAAAGACAATATCTGGATAGAATGTGGTGTTATATTTCTATTCTTTTTTATATATTAGACTTTTGATTTCTCTTGTTCACTCACTACTTTTTTCTTCACCTTCTGCTGTTTATTCCAAAAGAGACTAGTACAATGAATTTATTTATATTGCTAAGTTCTAACTATTTCCAATTGGGAACTATGTTGATTTTTTCAAAATTTGGTAATGTTTCCCATGCAGAAATAAAAAATGCTTGTCTCTACATGTTATGTACAGACGTTTGAAGAGTTTGAAGTTCAGCATCTTTCAGTATGACATTTTCTTCATTAAACAAGCTTAAGAAAATATTTGCTAATAGTAGCTTTGTATATTTTTCTAGCCCATTGAATATGCTGGGTACGGTCCGACACTCATCATCTTCCCTGTCTTCCCATACATCAAGTGAAACAGGAAATATGGTTATATTAACAGACAGTTCTGTTGGAGAAAATGCAGAGGATGTGTACCACATGCAGGTATCATGCAAATATATTAGAAACACATTGCAAGCAATATGTATAATTCATGATTATTTTACAGAAAACTATAGAGTACATACAATGTGCTTGTAGAAGTAAGTTACTACTGAAGCATAATAGATAACAGACTGAGCTACAAACTGAGCAGTCTCAGTCTATCTATACCATGAACTTGCCTATGAGACGTAGGCAAAATATCTTTCTTCGAGACCTCAGTTCTCCAAAGGCTTCTAAGGGCTTCATGGCATCAGACTTGATGACGAAGACATTACAATCCATTATTTTTCCTTTGTGAAAGCCCTCAAGGGTTTCTGCACCTGCTGAGGTAAAATTAATATTCCAGAGCTACCAAAAGCTTCTTTCTGCTGTACCTTTTGCGGGGTTTTTTCTTCTCTAGAGTCATAGATAGATAGACTTCTTATACCAGGTTACTCTGTTGAAGATATGAACATTTCATGTTGTCCCAAATAGTTCTATCCTATATGTCCGAGTGTACAAATAATAACTTGAAGTATAAAGTTAAAAGAATGTAGATTTCTTTTACATTGTATGGAAAGTGCTAGTAAGTATATTTTGTGTATGAATTGTATTAATTATTAATTAAGATAAAGGTGCCATGAAGCAAATTGTGAGCCACCCAACATTATGACAAATAAGAAGGGTGGCAGTATAAGTATTTTAAACAAATAGTCTATTTTCCCCAAATCCTTCATCTTGATAATATTGTCATATATATCACGGGATCCTTGATAATAAATGTTTGAACTTACTTATCAGTGTTGCTTTTGTTTATTCCCAGGCCAGTCCTTCCACCTCAAGCCTGAGCTCTACCCATTCCGCACCATCTCAAATGATCAACTCTGCACCTGCTAGTGCAAGAGGTATGAATGAGGCATTTAAGATAAAGTAATACAAAGTCCCACAAATGGCTGAGATAATTGCTTTTTATTTATTTATTAAATTTATGTAGCAGCCCATCTCACAAACTTTGGACTGTAGTACCATATTCTGCCTAGTTTTCTAGACACCATAGGATATTTTGATGTTCTGCTCTTAGAACAGAGCAAAGGACATCTAGAGATTTCAATGTCATATCTTTCTGATATCAGATCACTATTTTGCCTCCAGAAGCTGTGGATAGTTTAGTTTATAGTTTATAGTTTATTAACATTTATAGGATACCCCAACACTGGAAGTTTTTAAGAAGAAATTGTACAATCATTTGTCTGAAATGGTACAGGGTTTCTTGCTTGAGCAGGGGGGTTGGAGTAGAAGACTTCCAAAGTCACTTCCAATTCTGTTATTCTATTCTGAAGTATAGAAATAAAATTGGGAGTATGTCTGAGATAATCCCAGACTGATTGGGCTATCTTTATCAGCCTTGCAGTTCAATTCTACTGAAACAAAAGCAATTAGAGGGGGTATTGTGAGATATAAAAACTCTTCTCACTATTATGTTATGGATAAACCTTCAAAGCATTGGATAGAAAAAAAGAAAGGATCTCTCCAATAATTGATATAATACTTGGAAAAGAAAAAAATGCAGAAATATGCATTGTACAAAAAGAGATTACAGATAGTTCTCGACTTACAACAAGGTAGTTGTTAAGTAAGTTTTGCCCCATTTTATGACCTTTTTGCCATAGTTATTAAGTAAATCATGTCATTAAGTGGATCTGGCTTCACCCATTTTCTTTGTTTTTTGGAAGCTGTCTGGGAAGGTTACAAATGTAAATCATGACCTCGGGACAGCTCAACTATCATAAAAGCATGCCAGTTGTCAAATATTCAAATTTTGATCACGTGACCATGGATATGCTGCAATAGTTGTAAACATGGAAACCGGTCATAAGTCACTTTTTTCACTGCCATTGAAATATTGAACGGTCACTAAACGAATGGTTGTGAGTCAAGAATTGCCTCTAGTTGGTATACGAACAAAAATCTTATTCTGTAAATGTTCACAGCTTGGTTCCCAACCTGGTACCCCATAGTACTAACATGCCCAATGTGATCTCCCTTGGCATTCAACATGCTCTGTGTTCTACCTGACTTATAGTGAAAATAATCTTTAATATAAAACATTAGACTATGTAATGCTACAAAGTGAAATGCTAACCTCCAAAACCATATTTATTTTCCAGGGTTCCCAGGACCCTTATGCTTTCTTTAAATATAAATATATCTGGAGGTTTTAGCTGAGAGTTTTCTTTCGAAAGGTGCACAGAAAAAAGAGAACAAAATATATGTATGGGTGATAGGGAGCATCCTATGAAAGATGTTACTGGAATAGTATGTATATTTCTGATAAAATGCTACTTTGTAGTTTGTTATATTGCCTATGGTAGCCATTTTTCAGAAGTCTTCCATTCCCAGAAATTATTTTGCAAAACTACCTATAACAGGGGGCCCCAGGCCCCAGCCTGAACCTGAGCCATGGCCCATTCAGAACTGGGCCACGAAAGTGGTGGGCAAGCACACAAGTGTGCGTAGCTCTGCTTGTGCAAGCAGCGGACAAGTGTGCAAAGCTCCATTTGTGTGAGCTGCACACACTCACCCGCCAATGCAGATACCCACCACCACCACCACCACCACTGCTGGTCCGCAAAGCCAGAAAGGTTGGGGATCATGGATCTACAACATGGTTTCAGAATTATAAAAGTTTCCACCAGTCCTTTAAGTAAATTGTCAAAAAAGATGAGTCTTCTAAACATAGGGGCAATAAATTGTTGGTACACATTAACTGCGGGAGGTAAACATGAATTTCTTGCACTGAGATATTAGTTGGGGATCCATATATGTAAACTGTATGATATATAATCAGAAAGTAATCATTTCTTTGTTTTTACATCATTTCTGAGTAACATTCCCCACTTTTTCAAAAAGTAATTGCTTTTTATTTTCAAGAGGAATTTTATAGATAAACAGTTAAAAAAATTTTTTCATCATTTACCAGATATAACAATTCCTTCTTTATTGGACTGAACATTACATATAAATGGATGGGAAAGTATTTAACATTAGTATGTAAGATGGTATAATAATAATAATGGGGATAAATAAATATGTGACTTCATTATTTCAAGGTCACACTTGTAAACTTATTGTATCAATCTAGAAGTATAAATTTTGTACAACAATATTATAACTGCTGGTAACATTGTCATACTGGATGTGTGTCTGCTGGATTTCTCAAAATGTTTTCCCACTGTTTTGATTTTACAGAGACCAGACAACTGTTTAATGGAGAGCTAATAAATAGATCAGCATTTCCCTCAAAAAATATTAAAAAGCAAACAAAATAATAACACTTTCTATTCCTTTAGCTTCAGATAGGAAGAAATGTTTATATATTTCAATATATGTTTATGACATATACTGAAATGTTATCATTTATTTTTAAATGTCTCCAGAGTAACTGATAAACAATTTGAAATTCTAGAAAATAGTAATACAGAAAAATTAAAATCATTTTGATGTTCATAACACTAGTTAATAATGTATTTTTATGAAACCACCATGGAGGATGATATTGTTTAGCAAACCATATTGATCATGGTGCAAAAATAGCAAGAGTCTTGTTCATTCATTTGTGCTTTTTAATTTTAATGATTTTATATGTCAAATAAGCACTGGCACTTAAGCAAGGTACGGTCCATGTTTCAAATGCCTAGCTTTGTCAATCTACCTCAATTCTTTTATATTTATTTATATTCTTTTTAATTTAGTGCTGAAGGGTGCTGGATTGACAACTCTGGAGGCTGAAGCCCTCTATTTATCCACAGAACAGATACAGCCTGGGCGGCAGCAGTGCAAGCTTTCCCACGCTGCCCCCACCAATGTGCCTCATCTCTGTCCTGGAGGGACCACCTCTAGAGGTGAGAAGAGAGATTGGTCTCCATGGCTCTTTCAGTCCTTGGCCTTTCTGTTAAAATCAGTAGCTTGTGATAGTATACCCTCTTCAGTCAGAAAATGTGCCACATTCATCAACAGCTTTCACTATATCTATTCAGTGTCAGTAAATGATTTCAGAAATTGTTACTGAGCCTTGACTTACTGAATGGAGATATCAAGAATCACTTTCGCCTAAATGATATGTCAGTCACTACACTTTTCCAACAATGTCTTAATTTTCAGCAAAATATTGAGTACTTTGAATCGGCCCTTTCATAAGCCAACATGACATGGAATTATTACAAGATCACTTTTCTTCCTGACGTATTTTTCTATTTCATGAAGTAAATATTAGTGAATAAAAATAACATGGCAAGCTGTTTCATTTGCAGTTTACAAAAACTCAAAGTACTATTGAAAATAAGTAAATCTATCTAGCAAAATGCTGGAATATTTTAAATTCATACCACTGAAATAGAAAGTATCCTGTATTTTCTACGGTTATATTTTGTTCTTAGAATAATAAAACATAATGCATAAAGCAACTTTAAGAAGCTTTACTTCACAGATTGATTTATTTGCATTCTAAAGTATAACTGAAAATGCTGTTTATTAACAGTGTAAGAAATCATATGATCTTTTACCCCCACAAATGTTAGTTATGAATTTCTGATCTAGTACATACCCTTCCTTCATAATTGTACTTAGAGCACAGATAAAACTTCCATAAATATTTTACAAGCACTAGTTACTCTTGGATGACAATACTGAGATAAAATTTCTAGCATATATCTGTGATTAGTAACTGTAATATCAATTATATTAAATAAATATTCATATATTTATTTCATAAATCTAAATACAAAAACCTGAAGTGCTTATTCCTTCACATGCTACATAATAGGGTGTCCATATTAGTTTTTAATAAGATCATGGCTGCACTATTTATTCTATAAATTTAATGAACTGTGAAAAGGAGACCAGTAAGGATTTGTTCTGTGGACCAATGTTAGTGAAGCACTGATTGCCATGGCCTCATATTTTATATATCAGATTACACCTGAAGTTAAAATATAAGAACGTTTCATGCAAAAATATATCAATTCTGTTTAAAAGCAATCTTTAAATGTATTTAATATATTTTCAAGATGGTTCCAAGCTCTATTTACAGTGGGAACAGTTTGGTAATTCTTGCTATTTTCTTCATACGTTTCCTTCCTCTGCCTAAACAGAAAATCATGCTTGTAAATAATTACATAAATAATCAGAATTGTATAGCAGAAGATTAATATTAGACTTGCATTTAAAAGAGCTGTTAAGAAATTTAGTAAATATGAATTGATCAATACGTGTTTATTGTATAGCCAAATTATTTAGGAACAAGGTAAACCAGAAGTACAAAATGAGAAATAATGAATTGTGAGATTATGAGATTGTGAGTTCACAGTAAAAATGTATGCCAAAAATTTAGCTTTGTTAGCTATATATTTACAAGGCTTAAGTCTTCTGTGCATCTTGAAAATGGAACAGATGCTTTAAAACAAATGTATTTCTAAATATCTTTTAAATACTTTTCATCACATTTCTTTGCTCCAAAATACTTTATGATAATCAGTTCATTTCCTCTTATAACAATTAAATCAACATGCCCTTAGTATAAACAGATGAAGTACAATTTGAATTATAATCTCACAACATACATAATATGTAAAAACCTCAGTTAAATTATCTTGCAAAAGAACTATGTTTGTACATTTGAGTAACTCACCCATTTGTCTAACTCACACATTCTTCCTAAAGAAGATCAGAATGTAACTAATGATAACTTTTTCCCCAGAATGCTTTCTGAGCTATCAGGAGCTTTTGTACACAGAAAGCATAAAGAGAATTTTGGTCAGTGTCCCAGGGTTTTTTGGATTTCTAGGATTTAATGCAGCATTCAGAATTCTAGACACAAGTTATAAAAATTTCTTCTCTTTTATTACCACACCAAAGCCAAGCAAGTCTTTAGCTGCAGTTTATGTAAGATTCCTTTGCAAGGTTCATTAAAAATTAGATAAGACCAAAGTCTTCTTGGAAGTAGCACTTGGAAGCAACCTTTCACTGCTCTCTTGAATGGTAACAACCGTAGTTTAAGTTAGAAGCAATTGCCCACGCAATTTTGATGTGGGTGTTTTTTCCTCCTAGACCTAGAGGAATAAACAATTGAAATGTTGACTCAGTATTACTAAGATATTAATTAACATATCTACTGGCAAAGTAAAGCTTCTTCCTGCTACTGATAAAATATACTTTGTTAAGTGTGTATGTTAGCATAGCAATCAATTAGAAATGTAAGCATTTCTATGCTTAAATTCCATTCCTACTTTTTTGCTTCGATATGAGAAAGAGACTCCCTGGTTCTACCTCTGGCTCTTCCTTTAAACCAACAACAAATCTTAAACAACCAATGCTGTTTAGATCTGTTTTTGATTGCGATAGATTATTCCTCTATTAACTGCCTTCCAAAACCTTCTTCTTCTCATGTGCTTTTTTAAGACTCCATTTTCTTTGCCAGCTTAACAGCAATCCCTCTCCAGTGAAAGTATTTTACCCATGAGAAAGCTATAAAGAAACTGCTTTATCTACTCTTCACTTATGCTATGTCCATCAGCGAACAAAAACAAAGTATCTCTGTGACTAATTTTTCAAATTGCACGAATCCCTGAAACTGACAGTTTTCATGAACTGAGAGATACCTTTGGAAAAATGCTGTGGTTATAGTTCATTCTTAACTTTTTTGAAGTATAACTATGATAAGGGGGGATAGATGAATCATTCCTTAGTTTACATTTCTGAATCCATAGGGACAATGTGACTGAAAAATGGCTGAAATAAAATAGTAGATTTTGGATCAAATCTACTTAGACACTTTTTTATAATATCACGGCCATCTATGTTGTTAGGAAATAGCTATGAAACTTTGGATTTTGAACTATTTCTTTTAGGGAATGAGAGTTTTGCCCCAGTATGACACCATGCTTTGATGCATTATTCTTTTTCTGTACAAGCAAGCAAGACAGTTTTTCAATATGTCCATCTACAATTTACTATTTTAAAATCATGATACCATATTGATTACAGAAATAAATTGGAGATTGTTTCTATCATTATAATACTTAGCACATTTAACTTTCATTGTAGAAAAGTTTATTTTAAAGTATAAATAATAAAATGAACAATTAAAAATTCATTTAATAAGGAACTTTTTCCTGGATTCCACGTATAGGCTATGCTAAAAAAAGAAGTTGAAAGTCTCTTTTTCCCTTTTCTCTCTAAGTGAGGTCTCTCTCTTTAATCATGAAGTTGAACATTATAGAATTCTTCTTCGGTAGATGAAAACTGGATCTCTTTCTTGTGTTCTAATTTACTTTAATATCTCACTTTCAATTTTAAGGAAGGAAATAGCTTACTATATAAATTGATGGTCCTCAAATATTGTGGAACTGTGACCTCCCAAAATGATAAATGCATGTGACATATATACACCTGAATAAAAGTAATGATTTTATTGATGTTAGGGTTGGTTGAAAAGGTGCATATTTCTTTCTCCTGTCAGCAAAGTCATCCAATCAGATGTTGCTGTGCATACTGCAAATAGGGAAGGCATTTAACACAGCAGTTAATCCAGTGAAATCAAACACTTAAAATTGGTTGTATCTGAATTGGCTGAATTACATATTACGTCTACTAAAGCTGTCTGAGGATTATTTAGTTTGCAGAATTGTGGACGGGCTGTAGTAATGGCAGTCTTACCGTATTTGCATGTAAAAGGCACATTGTAATACAATTTTGTACTCTTTAAATATTTATGTATAGCATCTCTCTCTCTCTCTCTCTCTCTCTCTCTCTCTCTCTCTCTCTCTCTCTCTATCTATCTATCTATCTATCTATCTATCTATCTATCTCTCCCTCCCTCCCACCCTCCCTCTCTCTCTCACACACACATACACACATGTCTGTATGTAATGATTATATGTACATTAAATGCAATGAATGACCAGGTTCCGTGTACGCGACTCACTGAGCAATTATTAATGCCATTTTTTAGTAAAGGCATTTCATGTTTTCATAGTCATGTATTCTTTTGCAAATGTCAGTTATAGATCAGATTCATGCTATATTTTTGGCAATCAGCTGTCATTCAATTTCAATATATGTAGTACATACCATTCCAAGTTTTAATGCAATATGAATGTATTATGTATTCATGCAATCCTATGTGTAAGATTATATGTTGATGTGTTCATAATACTTAACAAAACTCCAATGGCACAGCACTAAGAGTATTTTTTATATTTTATTGAGTGGGGGATCCCAAAAGTGACAGGATATGCAAAAACAAATTTAATTAAAAACAACAAATGTTTATTTATTATTCACATTTTTGAACCACCCACCTCCCTCAGAGCTATTGACAATCAAGCCATACTAATTATATATGCCCTGAGTGTTTAATTAAATCAGATTGAGCTAAGTAAATTCAAAACTTCAAAAAGAAAATATTCTAATTATATAGCAAATCTCATCATTTGCTTATCAATCTTGTGCTCTTATAAGAGCACTTCTTCCAGATGCTAGTCCAGTAGCATTAACAAAATTATCCAGATATCCCATTTCCAGTTGCGAATTTTATTGTACAACAAATGTATTATTAATGATAGATTATTATTATTTCTATACAACATCTTTACAAAGACATCTGTTGTAAAGATCTGATGTTATTTTTGTACTAAACATTGGTATTGAGAAAACTGCTTTCTGGCTAATTTAGGTATTGCAATACAGGAATTATGCAATTGACAGAGTCAGTGACAGATATTGATTGAAAAATGCTTCTTACCTCATTGTTTATGGGTATCTGATGCCTATGTATACCATTATATTTACACCTTTAAATGATTGAGCGTTTCTTCCCATTTAAATATGAGCGTGCTGCTATTTTGCACCATGTCAATCTAAAAGTAATATAGTAGAACCTCTGGTCATGAAAGCCTCTGACCATGACCAAATCCAGAACAAAAAATTCACATTTTTTTTCCCGCAGCCAATTTCCCCTTCCACGCCATTTTTTTATAAGCGCCAAATTTCCCAAATTAGGTTCAGGTCACAACCAAATCAGTTTGCAACCAAAATTATGGAATGAATTCTGGTCATCACCTGAGGTTCTACCTGTACCTGAAATAGGTATTTGGTAGAGATGCATGTATTTATGGAGCATCCATCAGGTGGTGTTCCACATAATATATCTCTGAGCTATCCACTAACATCTGATAATAATTTTATTTACTTTTAAATAAAGCATGTTATTTTTAAAAAGGTATCAATACTTTTGTTTTCCTAAATATATCTAAACCTTGTCCAAATGGTTCAGATTTACAAAGTTTGCTACTTACAATATTACTTTTTATACGTTGTTCTACCTTGAAAACAGTCCTCTTTTTTGATTCAGTAGTTTCTGAAAAGAAAAAAATTAGCAAAATAGATGTATAGGTAACATATTGTTTTATCAACAAGAATAAAATGCAAAAAACCAACAATAATAGAAAAACAATAACAATAAAGAAAAATAAATTGTAAAATGTACAAAAAATGGAAAAAATTATATCAAATAAATTTAATATTAGACAGACTCCACCCCAGCTGGTTGCTGAGAAAAAAAAGTAACACTGATAAATTCTCCTCCCCTTTACATAATAAGTCTACGAATAGTTACAAACTTTCTCATCCCTATTTAACAAGCATACTATATTAAATAAAGAAATATTCCAGGTGAGAGGATCCCCACTAATCACCAATTCTGATACCAAAAGCAGCACAACTACATTTTGCCGATTAGGTCATGGCAATAACTGTCTTACAGCCATGTTCTTTCTCAAATGTATGATACTTATCTATATCTGCATTTGGGAAACAATATGAGAAATATCTGATAAAGAGGAATCTGTGATATTCAGTGTGCCATTATACAATTTTTGATGTTTCAGAAAGTTCACTATTTTATTCATATATGCATCAACATTATCTTTGATGTGCCTATGAGTAGGAGGAGCAAAATATTTTTAGTTAAGTTAATATTGTGAGTGATTGGGGCTTTAGACCATTTGTGTCAAATGTGTGCTTTGTGAATTAAAAATTTGTTTTGTATACCGGTATTTGAACATGAGAAAAACTGCAACTTTCTCCTGTATTACTCATTAGTTTATTATTACAATCTGTATGCCATGTTTCTGCTGATGTGAAAACCAGGTCGCTTTAAACAAGTCCGTTGGAATGACTCAAACATTCATAGTTCTGGAAAATTTATCAAGTGGCAGTAACAGTCCTTATAGCAAGTGTACCTGTTCAGTTCTTTTTCTTTATTCTTGTCTGTGTAAACCTAAACATAAATTAAAGACAATATAAATATCTTTAAAAATCCAGAAAATTTAACCATTAAATTATTTGGGAGATTGGGGAGAAATGTAATCATTTTCCCAGATTAAGTTTTTGAAAGCTATACATTATCCACAATTGCATTTTGAAAAGTAGAAAAACTGCAATTTTCCAACAAACGTCTATTAAAGTGGAACATCTAATGAACAATCTAGCCTCTTACAGTGCTTTCATATATTGGCAGCCCTCTGGAATAGTTTTGAGAATATGCAAGCTGATAAAGCCTATATTGGGCTTCTGTTCTGATAGGTGCTATTCTGCCAGTTGAAAGATAGAATTCGCTATAATCCAGGGTTTTAATATTTTCAGATTAATTTTTAACTGCTTAATTGTTTTGGGGAAAATAAATTTCTTTTGAACTTATAGCCCTGACTTTATATTGGTTGAGTGAGATGTATAAAATATTTGCCAAGCTGAAAATGTAGTACTCCTTCTTATTCAGTCAAATATGTTCATATTTTTGAAAATGAAATGACATAAATGTAGAAAGGCAACTAATAAAAGAAGCAGTGTCCTGCTGAATCGGACCTTTGGCCCATCTCAACCAGCACAAGTATCTATCTGATACATCTAGTTTCCCAAGCAGGTGGTCTTGATAGACAGTCACACCAGAAAATTTTTATTTCAGTGAAAATGGAGTTATAGAATTCCTTAATTGACTTATTAACTCAGCTGCTCTAACCTGGTGGTCCTTCAATCCACCCAACTCCTCCTTTGATAACCTGATGAAAAATAATAGCATAAATCTCTGCCATTTTGTGATGTAGGGTATATCATATTTATTAAATAACTTCCAAATTCCTCTAAAATTCCACTTTTATATCCTTGTCTGATGTGGTTTCATTCAGTTGGTCATTTTCTGCCAATGTTAAATGTCATCTTTGTTCACCAGAAGATTCCTCATCGCCTCACATGAATCAATGTAATTAGTCACTCTGTCATTGCCATCTTATATTTGGAATTTTATAAATGTCTGTGAGTTATATGTCTCAGGAAGATGAAATAACTGGGTGAAAGAGAACCATTTGTGTTTTGTCATGTGTACGTGATTGTTCTAACTCGTTTACAGGCTCTCCCTCTCTACCAGATAAATACCGTCATCATCGAGAATTAATGATGCTACTACCAGCACACCGAGATCGGCCTAGCAGTGCTATGTACCCTGCAGCTATCATGGAAAATGGACAGGTAAAGCGTTTGTGTGTTTGTGTTTGTGCATGCATGCAAGCACACCCATGCACCTGCATATATTTGTGTATCTTTGTGACTTAGATTATACCAACTGTGACACAATTAGCTTTAAAACATTTTCCTATATATAGGGAGGGAGTTGTTTTAAAAAATACTTACAGGAAAGTATCTACTTCCCTGATTTAGGCAAAGGTTATATTTAATATATATTTTACTAAAAGCCAGTCTTGGGACTGTAGAAATACAGTCACTGGTTTCACTCTTCCATACTATTGGAAGTGTTTCCCATAAGTGTCCTCTCTGCAATCCTTTCTACAGTCACAACTCAGACCTAATCAGTAATAGTGGGAGAGAAATCAGCAAGCAGTGTCACCACCACTTCCTTATTCTTGCTATGTCATTTGAAAGGGAAGCAGAGCCACTCTTCAAATCAATAAGAATAAGAAGTCTTCCATGCAAGACACTGATGCTTGACTCTGGGATTGTAGGGGAGGGAAATGCAGAGTCTAGAGAAATATACGTCTAGAGGAAAACAAAGATTCTTTTTCTGCTAGAAATAAGAGTACTCTCATCTCCAAAAAGGGATATGCTTGAGATTCTCTCTCTTTCATGTCATAATTACTCTTGCATTCTATTGTCTGTCTTCAACAAGACCACCAGCTATTTTCTTTTATTCAGCATCTTACTAAAACTACCATCAATAGTTTAGAAAGAGAGATCCTCCTTCCTAAAGCATATATCTAATGAATGCTAATAGAGGAAACAGATTACATGGTTTCCTATTTGTGAGAAAACAGCCAGATTTTGGAACAAAAAAAGCCCCAAATGTCTCAGAAATAATTTAATAATTTGAGGATTTAAAAATTCTACATTCCATTATGTATCAGCAAAAGTATACTGTCACTTACTGCTTTTAATTTAAATATAAATGTATTATACTATCACATGCATGCTGATATTGAAATAGGCTGTGCTTATATGCTTCAAGACATATAGAGTTTATGAGTTAAAACTATTGCTTTAAACTACTTCTGGAAAACTATTGGCTACTAATTCAGGGCCTGCAGCAAGGTGTCATTTATTTATCAAATTAATATGGCCACACATCTCACACAAAATGATTTTGGGTAATGTACAATAAAACTATTAAAGTCAAACATAAAAACCAGTTAAAATAATTAAACACTTAAATAGGTAAAAACAAGATTTCAATAGGGTTGATTAAGGTGTTATACATGGTTCAACTAACTCTACTGCCAAGGAATTTCCCAGGTCTGATGAAAAAAGTAAAGGGTCCCATCACATGGAACTCCTTAGCAAATGGGACCTACAGATGCCTCTTGGTGGACCTGATGGGTAGAAGGTAGAAGTGACTGGGGAGAGTTGATCCGTCAGATAACCTGGCTCCATCTCATATAGAGCTTTAAAAGTCAAAAACACTACCTTGAAGTATACCCAGAAGCAAACTGGCAACCAATGCAGCTCATGGAAAGAAGTATAATGTGAATCCTTCTCAGAACGCCCATAACTGCCCATACGACTCCATTTTGCACCAGCTGAAGCTTCCAGATACTTTTCAGAAGCAGCCCCATTTAGAGCATGTTACAGTAGTCCATTCAGGAGATGAGCAGGGCGTGAGTAACTGAACAGAGCCTCACAATCCAGGTACAATAAACACACAATATGAATTTGTGCACATGACACCTACCTAGTGCCAATTACTACAGGAGAGCTGCATATTGAACCAACTGATTTTCCTGGAGTCTTTAAAGGCAGTCCCATATAGAATACATTGCTGTAATTTAATTGGCTTGTGATTAGAACACAAGTGAGTGTCTGTCACAAAGTCTTCTCTCTCCTGGAACAGCTACTGCTGGTGCACCAGCCAATGTTTGGCAAAGATCCATATCACCATAGCCTCCATGTGCCCATCCAGTTGAAGCTAGAATTCAAGGAAACTCATATCATGAAACTGCTCCCATCGGGGCAGTATCATTTATACAATACAATACAATAGCAGAGTTGGAAGGAACCTTGGAGGTCTTCTAGTCCAACCCCCTGCCTAGGCAGGAAACCCTATACCATTCCAGACAGATGGCTATCCAACATCTTCTTAAAGACTTGCAGTGTTGGGGCATTCACAACTTCTGGAAGCAAGTTGTTCCACTGATTAATTGTTCTAACTGTCAGGAAATTTCTCCTCAGTTCTAAGTTGCGTCTCTCCTTGGTTAGTTTCCACCCATTGCTTCTTGTTCTACCCTCAGGTGCTTTGGAGAATAGTTTGACTCCCTCTTCTTTGTGGCAGCCTCTGAGATATTGGAACACTGCTATCATGTCTCCCCTAGTCCTTCTTTCTATTAAACTAGACATACCCAGTTCCTGCAACCATTCTTCATATGTTTTAGTTTCCAGTCCCCTAATCATCTTTGTTGCTCTTCTCTGCACTCTTTCCAGAGTCTCCACATCTTTTCTACATCGTGGTGACCAAAACTGAAAGCAGTATTCCAAGTGTGGCCATACCAAGGCATTATAAAGTGGTATTAACACTTCACATGATCTTGATTCTATCCCTCTGTTTATGCAGCCTAGATTTTTTTGAGATATAACCCCAGAGAATCTTGGTGTTATATTGGCAAAGAATCTCACTGAAAAAAACACACCTCTATCTTGCTTGGGTTCAACTTCAGCCTTAATGCATAAATTGATATGATGGCCAGGGGATCACTAGGATTAATCTTCAAGGCTTTAGTCACAGCTTTTCTATGTTGTCACCACAGGAATTTCTAAGATAATGCATCTGTTATTCAGCCATTTGAGACTTGAACATGATATGCAAATCCAGTTTATAACTAAAAACATAAGTTATATGGTAAGAACCTGAATGAGATCTTTCATTGCAAAAAGCGCATTTGATTAATTAAATCTATGATTGTATATTTGTAATGTGCAATATTTGTTTCAATAGTCTTGAATTGCATTTTTATCTTTCCTAGCATCCAAATTTCCAGAGAGCCTTATTCCAGCAGGTAATTGGACCATGCAAACCCTGCAGCGATCCTAATCTATCTGTTGCTGAAAAAGGTATTGTACATTCTATTTTATGTTTTATACAACACATTCAACTACTGATTTTCATTTATGTTTGATATTAATACTATTTCATTTGATCTGATACAAAATTATCTTATCCCAATCTATTATAGACAGTTTATATATCATATTTTTTACCAAGATAATATCCCCCGAACCAAATATTAAAGAAATAATTTCTGAAGCATCACTAATCCATATAAAGAAAAATATGGATTTTTCAAAATAAATGAACAGCTTTTCCCAACCAGTTGAAAAGTCATAGTAAAGAAATTCAAGAAAACCTCTGAAGTTTGTTATTTCTTATTTATTTTGTGATAAAGGGATACACAATGGCTTAAACAAAAAAGATGTAAAACAGAACTTCTATAATGACAAATGTCCATCTGCAAATTATTTGCAGGGTGAGTTGGACAGGGAGCAAATGATTAAATGTGACTGCACACTTTTTATACTTGCATTGTCATATCCCACACAAATACGTAGGAGGGAATTTTGTATGGCCATATCATAACACATGCTTTATCTGTCAGATTTTGCTGGAATCTTGGTTTGTTTGCCGATGCCTTGTAATATGAGCTTTCAAGGTAGACATCCTTTTATTTAGCTTTATTGTGGCAGAAGTTACCTATCATCAAAATGACATTCCACGTTGCCTGGTACTTAAGTAATAGACTAGAATATTCACAATACATACATTGATTTTCTTCCACCTCCCTGCGTTTCCAAATTCTCTAGAGGATTAATATAGAAAATATTTAGGAAGCATTAAGCTTTTAAGTCATTGGGAGGGGAAAATCTGTTGTTAAGTGAAGCTGCTATTAAATGAGGCATCATGCGACCACACCGATTTAAGAAGTCTGAGAGCCAGTTTGGTGTAGTGGTTCAGGCATAAAGTTAGAAAAACAATAGCATTAACACTTAGACTTATATATAACTCCAAAGTGCTTTACACCACTCTGAGTGGTTTACAACATCAGCATATTGTTCCCAACAATTTTGATCTTCATTTTACTGACCTCCGAAGGATGGAAAGCTGAATCAGCCTTGGGCCCTTTCAGGATCGAACTTGATTAAAAATGGACTTTGCCTCCACTTTTGAAAATGGAGTAGATTCTAAGGTTGCAAATTGTCATCTTTTTCCTTTTCAATTACAGTACTCCCTTAAGTGACAAAATGCTGATGTATAAGACGTTGGCTAATGTTCTCTATCAGATTGCCTAAAATTGTGCATGTTGTTTAGCAATCAAAGCAGCAATTCTTGAGACATAATCAATGAAAAATCTTATGGATAATTATTAAAGCAAGTTTTTAGGAAGGATCTAATTTGGAATCTAATATAATTTCAATATTAATTTTATTTGGTGAGATACTCGTTTGGTGTCATGATTATTGAGAAAGTTTTCAAAAACAGTTTGAAGCTATGAAAAACATTGTGGTCATTGTGGCACAGTAACAGGCTCTTTTGCATATTGCTATTTCTTTTCCTAATTTTTTTGCTTCTTTTTATCTTGATTTTCAAAGCAAACAATAACTTACTACTGTATAATGTGTCAGAGTGTGTGTTTGTGCGTGTATTACTGGTTTTCAGAATTGTTCTGTTCTTTCATTAAAAAAACCATTATTATTTCCTATCATCTACCCCATCTTCATGGACAAATATGTATGGAGCCAGTCCCAAAATACTCCAGAGACTGAAGAAAATAAAAATGTCAGCCTTAAATCCTGTCAAATCCCAATAAAACCTGTATTTGACTATTATCCAAATACAATCTGTTTCCATCCTTCAGCTGTTTCAGCAGCACCAAGCAGCTGGAGTCTGGACAGCGGAACCAGAGAGGCCCTACCATTCCTGTCTGCTCATGTTGGGAGCATCCTGGTCCCACCAGTGCCTCCCCGAAGCCTGACCCATGGTAAGGAAAAGGTCAGGGGGTCTTCAGAACCACCCTACAACAATGCCCAGATAAATCATATGAAGGCCAACACAGACATCTTTATGACTTCCTAAAAAAGAAAGGGAATTCATGGAGGAAAATATTTTCCTGGTTCTCTTGGCTGACAGTTAACCTAAACCTTGAAAACTTCAGAAGGGCTGTGAATGTGCTTTGGGACTGGACTTAGATTTTTAAATGATGTAAGGTAACCTGATGTCTTGCTGTAGGTTTTAATGTATGTTGAGCTCAAATTATTTTTGAAAACAAATATTACTTTAAATTTTTTATCATCCTTCCAAGGACAATGAAGTACTAAAAACTAATTGAGATTTCAGATGTGGATTGCTAATGAGCCTGTTTTCTTGCCACAGGAATCTTGATACAATATCAGCTGTTGGTAAAATTCTGCTACCTTTACTTTTTACTTCCATTTTACGTTTATTAAAAACATTAGACTGTATTTACATAGTAACACTGATTTCTGAAAATGAGTGTTCAACTCTCAGGATTAGCATTTGCTTTAACTAATGTTGCACAAATTAAGAAGTATGAACAGGTCCATGATTCTGCCCTATCTGACTTCCCTTATAAGGCCACTATTTACTACACTTTGATGCCTTCCACCATCATCTTAATGACGCTCCCCCAGCGCTGCCTGCACGAACACTGCGCAAGGTAAATGTTTTGTCATATTTCAGAACTTTCTATCCAGTATTATTCTAATATTACTTAGATTAGAATTTTAAGATATATCTATTATACCCAGTTTTGGGAGAGGTTAAAAGCAAAAATCAGTACCTCTAAGAGAAACATAAAAACTCTGCAAGCTGTATAAGGATCTCTTAGGTTATTTGAGAATAAAATGCTAAAAAGTGAAGCACGTCGCTAGGATGTTCAAAATGAAAAAAAATAACATTCCTGTTTGTTCTTTTATATAAGCTGTTCACCTTGAACGAGTTCATATAAATTCTGTCCAATTTTTGCTCATGCTCCCATGTGAGAGGATGAGTCCAAAGTTTCCTCTTAGCTTAACAGGTACTAGGGAAGGAAAATGAATCTTTGCAGAAGAGCTGGGCTTTCAAAATCAAGGGAGGTGATACAAAATATATACTAAACTTGGCTAAACATCTAAGACACCACTGACAAACAAGCCTTTTCTTAGCACATATTTTCATTTCCAGTTATCTAAGCATATTGATTAAAATAAATTAATTGGGTCCTTATAAAGAAAATAGCCTGTTTATTATCTCTAATTTGTTTTCCATAATTTGTTTATTCTCCAGTGCGCTGCTTGGAGAGTCCAAGCGTGGGTTAACACAGCCTATCTGCTCCTGGACTGAGTAATGTTTTTCTTGACCACACCCCCCTTTGCCTCTCCAAGTTCAGTTTAAAAACTCAGTCCGCCGGTTGGAACTGTTTTTGGGAGTGCTCCAGTACAAGAACAGATAGGCTGGGGTTCCCAAATCCAAATTGACCATATTTCTTCTCTACTTGTCTACAAGAGTATATGTGAAGGTTTGATTTACACCGCTGAGAGGGTTCCCTGGCTGGCCGTCATCCGCTGGTCGCAAGCGGCTCAAGGCGTGTGAGTCGCTTGACCAGCTGCCGCTGGTGAGCGGGGGGGTAGGGAGCGCACCGGCGTCCCATTCTGCCCCCCCCCAACTGCCATTCTACCTGGGCTTCGCGGGCGTTTGCCGCTGGCTGTGGCGGTTCTCTAGTCTGCCTGGCAACGGCGGTGACCGTTTCTGCCGCTTCGCGCGCTTTCCCGAGTGACGGCGAAATTGGCGGGAGGAAGCTGCGCGCGCACCGGCTGCCATTTTGAGTTGTCGTTTGCTGTGTGTGGAGGCTCTGGAGCTCCGGGAAAGCGAAGAAACGCAGCAGGGAGAGCAGGAACCTATATCTCTCAGCCACAGAACGCCGTCGGGGGTGCAGGGCTAGTCCGGGTCACCGGCTAGCCTTCCCTCCTCAGCTAAGTCTTGGGGCTCCGAGGCCGATGGGAGGAAGGACTCCGTCCAACAGGTGGCCCTTCCCTCCTGAAGTATCTGCAAATGCACTTGAGCCGGCTGGCCAGCATTGGTGCCCTTTCAGCTCGTAATCGCCTTCCCTAGGCCCTAATTCGTGATCTAACGTAGCATGGCTGAGGAATGCAGGGAGGCGCAGGAGGAGCAGGCAGGACCCTCCAGCAAACATAGCAGAATGGATCCCTTGGCAAAAAAAGGGAAAAGGGAATAAGGGCACCAGTAGCAAGTCATCCCCAGGGATTGCAGGGCCTCCAGAGGAGACCAGAGAGGCATCTCGTCCCCATAAGGCGGCGGAGCCTATAGCCCCTCACCACCACAGGGATCATTCCCCTTCAGATCACGGGGATCAATCTCCAAGGGGCAGTAGGTCTCCTTCTCTGGAGGATTATAGGTCCAGAGATCCCTCACCAGAGGCCTCCTGGGGCTATCCTGATTCGCCCAGCTCCTCT